ATAAGTTTCATTCAGGCCCATTAAAAATTGGTGAACTTTATTTTCTTCATCTTCCCTCAACAAACCCTCCTGTGCAACACAAGTGCATGTATTTGCATGATTTGAACCCATTGTCCCCAATTCATCCCCATAATTTCTTTAACTTGTTGAAATAAGAAGCTATATCAAGAGGTCCCTGACATGTAGAAGCCAATTCTTTTTTAATTTCAAATTTCTTTGTTCCATTAATAGTTCCATACCTATTGTTCAACTGCTTCCAGATGCTTTCAACAGTGTCAGAATATTGGACACTTTCAGTAATCTCAGGTGTGAGTGAGCTGGTTAGCCAAGATATAACCATGTTGTTACATCTGTCCCACTGTTTAGACTCAGGGGAACTAGCAGCCGGCTTAGGAAAACTACCATCAATGAAAGCAATTTTATTCCTAGCCGACAAAGATACAATAATGCTCCTTCTCCACCCACCAAAACCACAGCCAAAAAAAGGAACAACAACTACAGACATCCCAGGTATATCAGATGAATGAAGGAATAATGGACTAGAAGCACGTGGCGTAAATTCAGAATCAACAGTAGTACTACTAGACCCGTTAGTCATGACTGAAACTAGACGGAGCAACACCGGCAGAAATATACCATGAAAATTAACAGAAATATACCACAGGGTTTAACTTCAACCAACAATGCTCAATAACCAGCAGAAGCAGTAAAAAAATAAAATATGTTTACCAACCTTCTTCGCAACCGGAGAAAAACGACCTTAAAAACCCTAGTTTCAAAACCTTCTCTCGAAACCAGAGAATTTCGATAAAATACACTGACAATCGGAGTGAGAGCTTAACAAAGTGGAAGAAAATCACTGTGAAACCAACAAATCTTCGCCGGAAACCAGGAAATCGACGATGTGAGTGAATCCCGACGAAAATCAGACCATGAATGGAATTGGACGAGGGTACCATCGATCGACTCGAGAGATGAAGATCTCCAATATTCCGGGCTCTGATACCATGTAAAGCTTCGATTTGTACCAGAAATCAAAGAAGAAATTGTACATTAGGGCTTGAGAGAAAAAGGAACAAAGAATAACAGTAAAAATGAATTCCTTCGCTACTGAAGGTTCTGGAGTTTTGTATTTTTATATACAAGGGTAAAAATGTAAAGAGCTAATGCTAATTATGTGGGCTGACCTGGCAGAGTGTGGGCTGCTAACCCTAATACAAATAAATACACTTCAAACTTCTGCATATACTATGTAACTCCAACATTTATTTTATTTTTTAAAAAGAGAAAAAACACAAGTCTCTCAAATTAAATGAAAATGAAACCCTATTTTCTGCCTGACCTTTTTAAACATAAATAATTGAATAGCTAGAATGGTATATTAAATTGACTTGTTTTGAGGCTGCCTTCGGCAATTGCTGATGTTTTATTGCCTTTGCTTTTGACGAACCGATCTTTGCTCTAAACTTTGAATTAACTCTCTACAATAGGTAAGACATAAAAAATATATAAGTTGCTCTCAAACTACAATAAACTGAACTGTGGAATATTACATGTCAAACGAACTGAAATTATTTAGAGAATTGAGCTATCCACAGAATTCAGAAAGTTGCCAAGTATCAGAACATGCATTTGCTTCCTAACAACCATTCAATTTTTAAATATAAACTTCTTGCGGATGAATTCTTATCTTTAATTAGATTTGATTGTGTCATCACAACTATTATAAAATTTCTTTTAAAATGTATTACAATATTCTTTTGAAAGGAAAATCTGGACACTTGTCAAATTTTATTTTATTAAAATGATAACAATTCTTTTTCTTCTTCAATTGGAAGTTTCGAGCACAGAAAATTCCAATAAGGGAACCAACTGTCTCCGAGCAATACTTATAATGGAAATGGAACTCCTTATATTAATTCTCCTTTTGGTAGGTATATATATTTATTTAACTAGAATTTTAAATTAAACGAGAACATAAAAAACATGAAAAATAAGTGATGACCTCAAGAGAATATCTGGCTATGATTTAGACCACGTCATAGGGTATGTGAAATAGACGTGTCTGTATTTTTCAGGCAGAGTTAGCTCATCATTGTGCATGTGGCAAAATATTTCCCTGTCAATTTCTGTTTTTACTGCCATTTATTTTTGGTTTTTGATGATTCATCAATCCGAATTATTTTTCCTTGTTAATTTCCTTATAAAATTGTTACAACTATCACAGGACAGGATAATACACTGATCTATTGTCATTAGGAAACAGATTAGTGATAAGGATTAAGGATTACAACTCCAACAGTTACGTAAGGGGTTTGGATTTAACAATTTCCTAGTTTAACCCAATCAGGTTTTCTTCGTCAAACCTTTTAGGATTACTTCTTTCATAATAACTCCAGCCATAAAAAAAGAAAAAGAGAAAAACAAATTGTTCCATAGTCCCTTTAACTAGACTAGATTGTCATTTTAAATAATATGTTGTAAAATAAAATTAGATAAATTTCAGAAATGCTTGTTGAGGTCTTACCTATTGATTGGTATTTTAAAATGACAGGCAAGGAGGATAGGCGAATCCCTTTGACAACCATTCAATATATTCAATTACTAGTATTTACATAGTTTAACAAGAATTTGAATTAATTAAATTAGTGAAATTTTAATGTCAAAAAAAATTGTTTGGTTTTATCATAACAGCCTCCAACGGGAATCTTTTTAGCTTCAAAAGTATATCATGACACTAGAGCCCGTTTGGCGGTTGTCAAAAACTGTTTATTTTAAAAAACGCTTTTATTCAAAAGTACTTTTTGAAAATGTACTTTTGCAAAATAGCAGTTTGTATTTGACCAATTCGTTTGAGTAATGCTTTTTGCAAGCTCATTGTGTTTGGCCAATCATTTAAAAAAGCACTTTTAAATATCAAATTACAAAAAAGGACAGTAAATGTTTAATTTGCGATTAGCATTACTTAGAAAAGCAAAATACATTTAACTATTTATTAGACTTTTTTTAATTAAAATATAAAATGTAAAGTAAAAAAAATAAATTAAATTTTTTAATTAATATAAAATATAGTTATTCCAAAGCAATAATATTGAGTGTTTGGTATTACTTATTATTTACATGATAATTTAAATATTTCAAAATACACATTTAATATAAATTTAAAATCTACTCTTAGGAATAGGAGAAGGAGAATAAAAATATGATTAAATTAAAAAGAGAATAAATATATAGTGGAAATAAAAAGAAAAAATAAATTAAATTAGTGAAGAATAATTTGGAAAATATAAATTTATTGTAATGTTATTTTTATCTTGAATAAATTAATTTTTTGCTATTGTTTTTACTTTTTGGAAGAAGTTAGAATTTGTAGTTTCTCTCCAGAAGCAGAAAAATTACTTTTGTTACTGCTCATAAGTACTTTCTCATTTTAGCTAAACACCTTATATTTTTTTTCAAAAAATACTTTTTGACAAAAAAAGTACTTTAGGCAAGCTTGGCCAAACATGGTGTATGACCCAAACAGAAAAATAATGTATAGCAAATCGGAAAAGAGCAACCGGATATCGATTTAGATATTTGTGCTGAAATTTAGGATTGACATCTAATGCAGCTATAGAATGACCATAGAACAATCCCAAAATTCAGCATCTTCTCAAACACCAATCAGATTTAGTGATCCAAATCATATTGCTATTGACTTCTATTTTATAAAATTATTAATTAAGATAAATTATGACTATTTATTATCTTGTCTTGTTTTGCAAGAAACTACGTACACTAATTAAAAATTCTATATTATCTACTTGGTGCTTTAATTGAGAATCCTATAATATTATTAATGGAAGAATTGATCAGTAACTTATTAATAGTGGTGCAAAGATCTATCTGGCAAAACACCTCCATTCCTTTTCTTTACCCCGAACCTGGCTATGTATATTATTTTATGTCAGGTTGTCACATGTAGAAATTAAGGGAAATATTCTCCCTATAAACCTAATCTACTACTGTTGCTTAACACTTGGATAAACTTTTTATGACTTTGTTCATGAAAACATGTTGGCCTTCTGCCGTCCTGACATGGATATTAAGTCAAGATTATTAAAGGCAAAACACCTTCAAGATTAAGAAATAGTAATGGAAAGATAAGGGATATATATGACATGTCGAATAGGACTTTCTGTGTCGAAATTAAAGTAACTTTATTGGGTAACGGATTAAACACCAACGTAGAATAGAAATGTGATCATCTAAATTAATTTGCAAAAGTAGTATAAATTAAAAAAACGAGTTTATATACACTTGTATCATAATGTTTTTCGCACTATTTAGTCATCTAAAAGTCAATACAGATAATTATTTGATATAACCATTTAATATTCAAAACTCATTGGCTCAACTATCCATATTCACATTATGTAGGTCTTCCTTTAAGGGGAATTAACACTGCTAATAGCGGTTTCTCCATTACACGACTCAAATTCAAGACTTTTGGTTTAAAGTGGTTTGAAACTCATTTATCCCACTAATGTGGCCTTTGAAAAAGAGAATTATTGATCTATTAGATTGTAACGTAATATATTATTTTTAAACTCATTTTTCTTTCTTTCATAGCGGAGGCACACAAGCCTTTTAGTGGGACTTTTATTAAAAAATGACTTTTAAATTTTGACGCTGTACAAACAACTGATCAGAACCAATCAGACAAAGCAAACTTCTTGAGAGTACAGTATGTAATATCGTTTAGTTTTCTTCATATATTCAAACTACTAATACAACCTCATATTGAAATTATTAAAAATATATGTGTACTATAAAGAATCTATTTTCATATTTTTATTCCAGTACAAATCATAATTATTAATTGTTTATTTTTCTAAAAGAAAAAAAGCTCTGTCACAATTTAAGACCAGCTGGTTGTGCTGGGCTTTGTCTGAGGTTCGGACAGAAATGAGAAAACTCAAAGGAAACATAAACAGTGTGTAATCACTGGCATAACATAATTTCCAACCACAGCTTCTTAACAGAAATCTACTCACAACTAACAACCTTGGTTTACACAATTCATCATATATCAACTATTAATTTCCACACCAAACACAATTCCAATATTCGAAGTAAAATAAATTATCAAAATTTGAACTCACATTTCCTTTCTTTCTTTGAGGAAATGATGAATTCATTTGGAAATTCATATAATTTTTGTTGTCTAAAATTACAATGATGAGAAATGGAATAGGAATAGGAATTCCACAAATGGGAAATACAAAAGGAAAAATATCTTTTTTCTCTTTTTGTTTCTTTTGTTGACTTTTAATTTCCTCTGCTTCTAATGTGAAAAAACTGAACTCTAAAGTTACGTTTCCAGAAAACCAGTCATCCTAAGAATTGAATTCCTAACTTGACTCAAATCCCTTCCCTTAAGAGTCCTTCCATATCCAGTACAAACGGAGAATGACGTCATTTTTCCGGCTATTCTCCGGCCAGTTATCACATGCGGCGGCACCATTTCTTCGTCATCTCTGTACTCGTCTTCAAAAAAATCCGACTGTTTCTCCACGTACTTGAACCATGAATTTCTGTCGGGAATATTAACTGGAACCGAATTAGAATTCCGCTTCAGTTTCTTTATTCTAGATACCTTGTTATTACGACGAATTTGGAAGTCATACTCTTCATCATCATCAGCTAATTCTCGAACCTCTTCACGTCCTGCATTTTCCTGAAAAATAATTTCATATTCTTGAAATTCTTCAGCCATTGAGAGAAATGGAAATGGAGTTGTATCCGAAAGGGGTTTTGGGTATTGGAAAGAGGAAATTGAACAGAGATTAGGAGAAAGGGAAGGAGAAGAAGAGGAATTTATAGGGAATTGGGGAGAAGTGATTGAATGATTGATCTGAAACGTAATGAGTACACTTTTGATTGGGTTATCGTCATATGGCGTCATTCGTAAGGGCATTGAGTGTGGTCCCAGCTTTCTCTCTCTAAAAGCTGAAACAATGGCCGCGCTATCTTTCTCTCTCTATATTTGTTACTTGCAACTCACGGCTTTGTTTGTGTGTATCTATAGGTTTGTATATGTGCATGGATTTAATAGATCTGCATTTACTCTTTGAGGTTTAATGAATCTTATTGTCAGTACTACATTTTCACAATTTATATTGTTTAAACATTTTCTTGCAGGAATAGTTCACAATGTAAGTGTAAACAAGACGAACTATTGGGTAACGCTTTTTTGTATTTTTACACTAAGGTACTACTGCTTGACCGAGTCATAAATTCATGATTGTATCCTCTTGATAGTGAATACAGCTCCTCGTTCAAAATGTTATACTGTTGTAATTACAGCAAACTAAATTTGTTTTAATATATTTGATGTTTTAGAAAAATATGAAATCATTTATTATTAATTTTCAAATCTATTCCATGTTCTAAATAGATGGGTGTTGATGGTTGGCAAGAAATCTGTGTTTTAGCCGCGTTTTGCATTCTAACCACTGTATTTTATGTGTGTTTGAGCTTAAATGATAGTGATTTGCTCTTATTACGTGTTTTATGCCTTGCACGAAATGATTCCGAGCTATTTAGATAATTTGGAGCTAAATCGAACAAGTTGGAGCTTTGAAGCCTAAGTAAAAGTGCCCAAAGAAATAAACCGGATTCACCTTCGGGGGTCGAGGACTGAGTCTGGATATCAAAAACTGAAGAAACTAATTTACTGTGGATCGGAGAATTTACACAGCC